ATAACTTTACTTCTAAGTGTTTGCTCATATTGGCTTGTTGCCTCATAATCTCATTCATTGCCATTGTTAATTGCTGGAGCCAATAATGGTTCCTTTCCTGCTTCTGTTTTCTCTCCTAAACCCTACCCAAGCCGACAGACCCTCGGTGTGCACCTTGACGCACTCCCAGCCTAACTCAGCCCTCCTTCAGACCCAGGTAGGATCTCCAGACGTTACGTTCCAGGTTACCTTTATGCCAGTTTGATCCATCAAATTCCTGCCGCTCTTCAGACTGGCCCACAGCTGATTTCCACTGCCCTTTGCTTATCTACCACCACTGGCCCCACACATTACCATGCACCCAGCCAATACCACTGTGCCTCCTGGGGCTGTGAGTCCTCGGCTCCATGGAAGCCAGCCCAATCAGATCAACACATCCATCTCTCCTCCACATCATTAAATAACCCTCGACCCTTTAAATTTGACATCACAGTCAAGATCCCTCTGATCCATCATGGCAGTCTGGAAGGACGTGGGGTCTCAGGCTTTATGTGGAAGGCATAGATCCAGGTTCGGAGTTCACCATCACCTGCAGGCTTTGGATACCCAGGACTGCTTCATCCCCATCTGTTATCCAGGGTGTACATAATGTTTCACCAGAACTCCACCACTTGGACCAATTCCTGGCCCAACTACAAGTCAACCCAGATTGGACAGAACACAAATGGTCACTGGGTGTTTGAGTCTCTCCAGAGGACCTTTTCTTGGTTATCTAATACCTCCTACTGTTCTGAGGGCTGCTGGCTAGGACTAAACATCCATGGACTACTATCTACTCACCCCACAGGCTTGGCCCCTTCCGTGGAATCATTCGTTCCACCCAACAACAGGCCCAATACAAATTATAGTCCAAAATTTTCATTTAATCACCCAGGCCCCAGTGTGCCTCAGTCTTACAGGAGACCTCACCATACTGGGGATACCAATATCCAATTTATCCTTAAACAGCTCCCTCTCCAATGTAACCATACTGCGTGGAACAACTCTCTGGTTGGGAATGAATACCTCTCGGAATGCTCGCTACACTCCAGTCCTATTGGCCCCTGATTTCTATATAATACTGGGAAATGAAGGAGTCCCCATCCCCATAACTAGGATGGTCCCGAGCCCGACAAAAAAGAATGTTACAGGTGGCCGTTATGCTCCTCATAGCAGCATTGGGCATAGCGGTAGGTATGGTTACAGGAACTGCAGGATTGTCCCACTGTTTTCCAAGGAAAACACCTGACAGAACAACATAAAGAAGACATTACCTAAGGTGATCCTGGCACTCCATCAACAGATCAATTCACTCTCTCAGGTGGTCCTGCAGAACAGGCAAGGCCTCGACCTCTTACTTGCAGAAAAAGGAGGACTTTGTTTAGCTATCCAGGAAAACTGTTTCTTCTTTGTTAACCAATCAGGAGTGGTAACCAACCAAATCCGCCAACTTCAGGAGAGCCTGGAAAGGCGACACAGGGAGCATGAGTCGGGGACTACTGGGGGACTAACAAGCTGGTTCACCAGTCCTCTACTAACCTCTTTACTTCCCTTTATGACCCCTCTATTGGTTATCCTTACTCTGTTGGCAGTCACCTCCTGTGTTCTCCATTTTATTCAATCCCAGGTTAGCCACCTTTCTGCTGAAGTCTCCCGACAGAGGGCTCACCAGATGATACTTCAGGCCAGAGACCTAAGCGAGACCACTGAGTTTACATGACAGCCAACCGACCAACCATAGCTCAGATCTCAGCTCAGTTGGAACACTTCCTAAATGATTGTTGGATTGATATTCTCTGGTTTGCTCCCCACCCTTCTCCTGTTACCTGCATAGCCAACTGGGTCACTAACACGTTGCTCCAAGAAACTTTATCAGACTTCACTCTGACTAAAATCACAATCTTTATCTTTTGACTTGTTCTGTTAACCCTCCAACCCAGTCCACAGCCTCATACATTCTAGGACATTCCTTTGGACTAAAAGATGTCCTCAGGATGCCCATTCTGCCCCAAAACCCATGGTCCAAAACTTTTCAGGCTCCTCACCCAAAATTTCCTCCCATATAATTGGGCTTTAATAGCTTGCCTTACAAATCCTCCTCAACACTATCTATTGCACACAGGAGGTCATATCTGTCCTAAGAGGCCCAGAACAAAGGGAACAAAATGATACCCTACTCCCATGGTACTACACTGTTCATCAGGGAGATTTCGGATATTCCGCCAACCCCTCCAAACACTGTCAAATGTCCACATGAGTTCCATTGGAGTCTGATTGGCCCCTTCAAGTGCCTGGTACCTCCTGGTTTCCCCTGGGCTCAGGCATTCCTCTTCTGGTCCACCTGTTCTGCTACAAGCCCACCTTCCCAGATGGGTATACTCTAGAAGATTCCCTTCAGACAGTATGCTATTTATCATGTTGCCATCCTCTTTTTACTGGCCTTTCTAGACAGTATAGAAGGTCGACCACTTTCTCGGGTCATCACCAAGATCCTCCGAGACGGGCTACACAGGGCTCATAAAAATCGGATAGGGACCTGGGTACAACAACACTGGGAGGCCAGATGTGGGCCTCATAGAAATTATCTTTTACTCCTCTCTCCTCCTTCACTAACTGATTTGTGTGCTTGGACTCTTCTCAGGGAGCCCTACCAACAATTCCAGTGGGAATGCTACTGCTGTCAACCATTTCATGTTCTTAAAGGACAATGCAGCCGCCATGCCCCACGCCTGCCCCCAGACAGCTTCATCACCCCGGTGTCAGCAGGAAGTAGTTAAAGGAGATGGACACACCGCCCCTTTTCCCTGGCGTATAGCATGTGCCAGCTGCTGTCTCCATCTAAACCAAAGGCGGGGGGAATGTTAGGGACCTGACGCCACCATCACAGGCTGCATTTTCCTGGTTCTTCAAGCCTCATACTCTTATCTTCAGTTTCCCTCCCCACAAGGCCACAGCAGGGTCCAGAGAAGTTAAACCTAAGTTTCTGCAGGACTGAACCCATAAAAGACAACCTGGCCTATGATAGGTTGAAAGTAGCCCACTCCTCATGAATAAGCAATAGCCCAGCCCCCAGTAGAATAAAACAATAAAAGGACCTTCCTTTCTTTGTTCTCCCTCCCTCTCTCTCCTCTCTCCCTGACCCGCCTCCCCACATAAAGTCTCCTGTTGGACCTCTTCGTGTGTGGCCTAGTTGTTGAGCATCGCTGTACCTCTTCAACATTTAACTACTATTTATCTACTGCTTACTGTATCTAAATCCTCTAAGTGTCAGTCAACTCATTCAGTCCGCAACACAAAAACCGGCCCCTGTGCTTTTTCTTTCCTGTGTGCTTGCTTGCTCATCTGCTTTTTGGCCTTCCCACCATGAAGCACCATAAGCCCCTTTGCGACACTGGCACCAAGCTCTCAAACTTCTCAGCTTCCAGAACTGGGAGCCATTGAAGCTTCTTTTCTATATAAATCACCCAGTCCCGGGCACTGTGTCATAGCAACAGAGAATAGACTAAGACAATATTATTGTACCAATCTTATAGAAGAGAAACAAATCAAAGCACTCACTCTGATCTCCGTGGCAGCGAGAGACAGAGGTTGGATCTGAACTCTGCTTTGCTCTGCACATACTACTGTGTCATCCCAGGTAAGGCAGGAGGGCCTGAGAGAAAGGCACCCTAGGTAGAGGCAGGAGCCTGAGCCCCAGCCAGGCACAGAGAGTGGACATCCTGGATGAAACCTGAAGTGAGAGCAAGTATGGGCTGGCTGGGATGCTGACCCTGCTGAGGCTGGTGAGGGCTGCTACTGAGCACCTTCTACGTGGTGAGTGCTGTTCTGAGTGCTTCCTGTCTAGTCACTTACTTAATCCTCTCAGAGCCTAGAGACAAGGACGTTCTCAATTCCCATTTCCCACATAAGGACGCAAGGCCAGAGGGGTTAAGTGACTTGCTTACTTCATATCACAGGCAGTGAGCTGAAACCCAGGCCGTTGGCTGCAGAGTCTGCAGGCTTTGTCTTCATTCTACCCAATCACTCAAGGTTGAAAAGCACCCTCTCTGTGCAAGCCACTGCGGTAGCAGGGAGGAACGCCTCTGTCTTTCTAATCAATCTGCTTCATGCCTCTCACACACACACCCCAGAGCAGTACTGTGCAAGACGCATGGCAACTGGCTGCTTGAGTGCCTGAAATATGGCCGGTTGGAACCAAGATGTGCCGAATGTGTCTAAGGCACACTGGGCATAGATGATCTAGCACAAAAGGAATGTAAAATATCTCATTAATCATTTTAATAATGATTGCATGCTGAATGGTTATATTTTGGATATATTAGGGCAAATATAATAAAACATATGATATTAAGGTTCTTGGCACTTTTTCAAACAAAGTGACAAGATTAATTTCGTATGTGTTCGCACGGCATTTGTGTTGCATGGTGCTGCTCCAGAATTGCTTTCTTTGAAGGTACAGACCATCCTTGTCCTGTTCATTGTGGAGCCCAAGAACCATGATACAGCCTGACACACAATAGTCCCTCAACTCTTAACTGCTGGATAATTAAATGAATGAATAAATGAGTAGCCAAGTCCACAATGCCCTGCACCTGCTCATCAGTCGCCTGAGAACTGGACCTCCCCTTCTCCTTGCCTTGTCTCTCTGGGCAGGCTCGCAATCAAGCTGAGTCTTGCAGAGCGCATGGCTGCAGCAGTGCCAGCCGAGGGAGCGAACATGTGGTAGAATTTGGACCATAAAAACGATCTGAGTATCAGTGACCACAAGGGCGGTGACCACTTAGAGGATGCAAATGCTGTGCTTGGCATCGTCCTGGGGACTTCACATGGAGTGACTCGTTTGTCTCTAGCAGCCCTGCAGCCTCAGTCCCACAGCCATTCCCGCTGGCAGGTGGGAAAGTTAAATTATGCCCTAGAGACACACAGCTAGATTTGTGCCCAGCTCTGTCTGACATGATGGTTGTTCTTGTAACTTACATCACTGGGCACAGAGAAGGGACTCGGGGGCTCACAACACGCAGTGCTTGGGAAGCAGGTGGCCGCAGCTCTCAAGGCTCCCAGGGAAGCCACAAAATGCACTAGTACCTCTGACATCCAACATGAACTGTCTGCATGTCCAGCTGTATCCTGCCTGTGTATCTTCCTTGCCAGACACCCGGAGTGACGAATGTGCAGGTGACTTTGATGTACATGGCAGGGCACACCCTCGCTGCACTCCACGCCTGCATCCAGAAAACACAGTCTCACGCACAACACTTACCTTGTGTGCATGTTTTGGTGGACTAAATGAGTTAACTGGCACTCAGAGGAGGGTTTAGATATGGTAAGCAGGAAATGCATAGTAGTTAAATGGTAATATTAAATATTGTGAATAAACCATAACTGATTTCTTGTGAGAAGCGTATCTGGGTGGCAGCACCACGGAATCTGCTGACTTCAGCCCAGCTCACAGAATTGAAGCTTTTTGGAAGGGGTGAACTGCACATTTATGCCTTTGTGAGGGACATTTACAAAACACTTTTATGGCAGGCATAGTCTCTCACAGGCTGGAGACAGAAAAAGAAGAGATTGCTACTTTCCCTCAAAGTCTCAGTCTACTTCGACAGATACATTCATTGACACAGTGAAGTACTGTCATTAGCAATTGGTTATTAATAAAGTAATTGACAGCATATAGCTAACTGGTAATTGACATATTTAGTTATTCATGCAATACATGTTTTTGGAGTACAAATGTTAGATTGGCTGTATATAATGAGGAATGATACGAACATACCTCACAGCTCGAAGCAAGAAGACCATGTGATTCCAGGGAGAATACAGGGGATTACAAGCATCTTAGACAGCTCAAGCGTCTGTAACAAGATACCGGAAGAGCGGACTGAGTGGCCTAACAATAAATATGCATATTACAGTTCTGGAGGATGGAAGTCAAGATCAAAGTAGCAACATGGCTTCTAATAAGAACTATCTTTCCTTATAGGTGGCTGAATTCTGGCTGTGACCTGTCCTCTGTGTGCGGAGAGGGGTGGGGAGACGGGGAGAGAGAGACAGAGGGAGAGGGAGGGAGAGACAGAGATGGAGACACAGACAAGGAGACAGAGAGGGAGGAATCAGTAGTGCTGGGAAAGAGGAAAGAAAGAGATGTTAAAGATACGTGTGCATTCATAGAAAAGCAGAGTGATGGTAACCTGTGTGTGCATGATGCTGAGGTAAGAGGATCCCAAGTTGAAGCCCAGTGTGGACAACTTAGAAACTTAGTGAGACCCACTCTTAATCAATCAATCAATCAATAAAAAGGACTGGGGATGTAGCTCAGAGGAAAGGCCCTAGGTTCAGTGCCCAGTACTGACAAAAGAAAAAGTGACCACAGTGAGGGGATTCACACCACTGAAATTGCCAGACACTCAACATCCACCTTGGCTTGCGTTCCCCACACCCATAGCCTGGCCAGGGAGTTGTGTTTAAACATTTCCCGACACACTGCCAGCTTTGACGAAGGCCTATGTGCTGCGTTTGGGGGATACAGCTAAGGGACCCATCTTACCAGGTGACCTCGGTCAGATGGGTAAGGTGGGTCCTAGCACATCAGGAGAAATGTGTGCAGGATGAAAGGGTACCCCAACTAAGCAAACACGAGAAGGAAAAGTGGACAACACTCAGGAGAGTAAATAGCTTTGAGCGGCCATGGTACCTGCGTGGTGGGGAGCAGCAGGCCAACGGGGTGAGAAGTTGAAGGCCAGGTAATGGGCTTGGGCTCTCTCTGGGGGCCTGTGGAGCCCAACCCTGCCATATAGCAAGCTCTTCTGGCCATGCAGCTGAGAATGAGTGGGAGGTAGGCAGCCAGAAGCTGCTGAAAGCAGTTCACTTTGTGTGCTCACAGAAACTTCACCCACCTGCCTGTCTTCCCTGGACCTCTGCAGGATGACTTCTCCCATGCAGGTCCCAGCAGCCTTGTTTTGAGCAATAAGTTCACTAATGGGCAAAACATTCTGAAAATCAAGCAAAACTGCAGTGAGTCCTCCTCATTCATAGAGAGAGACAGACTTCATATTTTGGAAAAAAGGGGAGGAAGAAGGAAGAGGAGGAGGAGGAAAAGACAAGAGGAGGAAGACAAAGTGAAGGAGGGAGGAGAAAAGGAAGACAACCAAACCATACCCTATGCTTGCTTTCCCTCCCTCTCCCCCTGGCTGGTTATTTCCACATCAGCTCTGGGTACCCTCCCCTAAATCCTGTACTGCCCTGGCTGTTTCCGGCTCAGTGAATGGCACCTCCTTGCACTATATGCTGCTCAAGCAAACTGGCTTAACTTCTTGGTCACACATGTCCCATGCAATCCACTGACAAGTCCCGTCGCTGTGCCTTCCGCATGACACCTTCACGGTGCCACATTGCATGAAGCAGGATTTTTTTCTTACCTGGCCTCATGCCCTTGCCTCCTAACTCCGTTATGCCCACTTGCTGCAGACAGAGCTCCAGGGGTCAGGCTGTGTGCACCGGAGTCTGAGCTGGGTTCAAACCTCACCTTAGCCATGAAGCAAACCCTTGGCTAACCTCTCGGCTTTCCCTTTATGCCACTGGGGCTAATAAAGCCCACGTCACGAGTAAATGAAAGCATGCGCAGAGAGCACGTGTGTGAAGCATGTTCTTTTCTTTCCCTCTCCTCGCTCCTCCTTCCTCCTCGGCCCATCCCTCTCCTCCTAGTCCTCCCCTTCTTTAATTCAGAACCTTAGGTGGATGAAATGATCAGATAAAAGACTGTAAATTGAAAAGCTGTCATGAGCAGACCTTTGGCAAGTCTGGCCATTAAAGGCCAAGTCGAGGTGGGAAAGCTGGGTAGTGGAGGCTGAGAATGAGCAGCAGTGGGAAGGCAGATAACCAGGTCAGGATTTAAGAGGGACCCAGTCTGTGAAGAGCAGGGGAGCGTGGATCACTGCCCTCCACTGTCAAATAAGGCAAGGAGCGATCTGGCCATCAGTTTTGGCTAAATATGGCCTGTTGTTAAGTTTGATAATCCAAAGGTGAGAAATGCTTTAGCCCAATCGTGTTGGCTGCCCTTCATTTTCTGGGTAAGGATTCCCAAAATAATTGAACCTAGAAAAGAGAGCCAACCTTCAGACAGTCCTACCTTTGAACCTTGGATCTGCCACTGAGTAGCTATGTGACCCCAGGGAAAGTCACTAGCCCTCTTTGAACTTCAATTTCCTCAACTATAAAATGGAAGTAATAATGCTGCTTGTCTCGTGATTTATGGAGAAGCAAAGATTAAATGAAATAAGGTCTCTTCAGCAGATGCTGCATATTTGTCTCCAGCAGAAAATGACTATTAGGTACTTAACGTTTTTATTTTTCCAAATGCTCTTCTGCTTTTCATTACTGTCAGCTCAAGGGATGCTGCTACACATCTAAGGTAGAGAATGTCCCAGTTTTGAGCAAGGGTTCATCCATGCCAGGGAATCTGATGGAAAGTTCTTTGAGGGCTGAGCCCTTCTTTTCTGGTTACTCTCAGAGTGCCCTGTACCTAGCTGGACTGAATCAGCTAAGGTCAATCCTTGTTCTGAGCAGGTTCTCAGTGCTCCCTGAGAGATCTGTGTGCTTACCTGGGCCCTCAAGGCCTGCAGGTCGAGCTGCATACTTCTGTCCACCTCACCTTGCACCATGCCGCTCGGTTTCTTTTAGCCTCCGTAGTACAAGGCACTGCAATTCTGTCCTTTCTGCAGATGCCCTTCTCTGCCCCCTTCTCTTTACTGCTTTCTTCTTGCTTTTTCTCTCCTGGAGGGATGGCTGCTTCCCCAGGGCACCCTGTCTGAGCTCCTGGACCAGGTCACTTCCTTTCTTAGAAGCTGCTGGAACCCTGGGCCTCTTCCTCCTGGAATTTGGCATATTCCTGATTGTGTACTCTTGGGGTGAACCTCAGTTCACTGCCCGCCTCCGCCACAAGATTCCATGGTGCTGTGCTCACCATCGTATGGCTTGTGTCAAGCTCGTGGCCTGGCACACAGTAGTCACATAACAAACAGTTGATGGAGTGGATGAGCCAGCGTTTAATGCAGTCTACAAATGTACAGATGCAACACAGGCCAGACGTCTCCAAAAGGTTGCTGGAAAGGCAAATATAATGTGAAATCTTACTCCATTTACTTTCATTTCAATACCAAAGAGTGGGAATACATCTTGTCCTTGAAATCTAATAAAGTCATACTTTGAAATCTGGACTGTCTTTTCCACTGGCTTACTTTTCAAAATAATTTCCTGGTAAACCCATAAATAATGGCACTGAAACTAGGTTCCCGACTTGGCTCTGTCACTAACTAGCTGCTGGCCGCAGACAAGTCCCTTAAACTCTGCACGCTCCTATTTACCTCATATGGTTCTTGAAAGGCTCCGGGTTGGTGGCATAAGAGCCCTTTGAAAGCAAGGACTTATTTATTATCCATTATTTTCAGTCTTATTAATAATAATAAGAAACAGGCTGTGTGCCAGAGATAGCTGAGCAGATTTGTAGGGCTGGAGGACTGCGGCCACAAAGAGAAATGAAAAAGAATGGGAGTGAATAAAAAGTATGTACAAGTGAGGGGCACAGAGGGAGAAGGGCACCGGGGGTTTTATAGGCACCAGGCTGCACAAAACCATAAGGCTGCTGTTTTCTGAGCTGGGGAAGGTGACCTAAATAAAATCACTGTGGCGGCCAGATTCTTGGAAGCTGTGTGATAGAAGGAAAAGCCAGAAGTGAAGTACGCCCTGCTCGGTTTCCCCTGTGGCTGCAGCGAGGTCAGGTGTCCCCCAAGTGACCTCCACTGACCAAGGCCACTCTCCGCAGGTAGATCTTGGGGGCTGAGCTTTGCCAGGTGGCATGCACGGTTGGCAAGGGTGGGGCGGCTGCTGCTGGGTTTGCCTGCCAGGTGGTTCTGCTGCCCAGCACAGCCTGGCTGGCCCCTGGGGTGGCTCAGCCCCCAGGCCGTAGGGAAAGAGGCAGTGGGGGTGTGCAACCCACAGGCATCCGGGTATCCTGGTGACCCAGAAGCAGCCCCTTAGCAATGGGCCTGGGTTGCGGCTGGGGACGTGACTCCATCCCTGTCACCCAGCGTCCCAGAGAAGCTAGGTTTTCAGTGTGGAATCCTGCGATCTGTCAAAAAACAAACACCAAGCAGCCAGACAGGAAAAGAAGCCTCCACAGGCCGGGTGGAGCGGAGCGCGGCTGCACTTGCTGCTCTGAGGCTCTGCTTGATGCCCGTGGGGGCTCCAGACATGGTCTCTGGCTCCCTTCCAGGGCAGGGTGGAGAAGGCCGTTTGGGTGGAGGGAAAGGGTCACCTCACCCCTCCTCCGGCTGTAGAAAGCTAGACGTGAACGCACACGCAGTGAAGCACCAGCTTGCGATCAGCGCTGAGAACGAAGAGCTGAGGTGAAGGCAGCCGAGGAAGCAGTGACTCTCAGTTGGCCGACCAGACAGGCTGCACCAGAAACGCTTTCCACCGGCTTTCCCGGCCGCATTCACAGGCGCAGATAGATGAGCAGCCGGTGGGTGGCTGAGTAGCTCCTCAGACGAAAAGGGTTTCTCCCGGCACCCTCGACATCTCTTGCTTCTGAAGTAGGCTCAGCCCCAGCCACGGGAGCAGGTGCAACGCTCAAGTCCTGATTAAGAGTAAGTATCCCCATTGGTCTGCACAGCTGGAAACAGCTGGCTGGAGGAGTCTGTGGGCAGGAAAGGGGCTGCCGGCAGCTGCTGGACAGGGAGAAGGGTGGGGAATAGGGCTGCCAAGGTAGGGTTGTCCTTATCAGCGGGGGACAGACAGACATGGGGGGGGGGCAGCGTAGGAAGCCGGGCCAACTGCTTCTCAGGTTCCAGTGGCCTTCCTGGCTCACCATCAGTTCTTTTTTATTTTTGAAAGTGCAATGACATCTATAAGTCTCTCTTTCCAAGCCAGACACTAATAAGAGGTGTTTTGGATTTCCAGCTCAAAGAGCAAAGTTCTTACCGTGACCCCTAAGGCCCTCTGCGATCTGCAGCCCCCCCCCATTGCTGGGCCAGCTCGGTAACTTCGGGGGCTCAACGCAGAGCTATTCGTGGGCCTGCTGATTTGCTGCAGTCTCTGAAGACAGAGACCTTTCTGTTTGGCTGTGGTGACAACTCTACCTCCAGTCCCTGGCACCTGACAGAGGCTGTTCTTTTGTTAGTGCTGCTGGATACAGGAGTGATGTTTGTGTCACTATGTGGATTCACTGGCAGGACTGCTGCGAGTGTTTATTAAGTTCTTACTGTGTTCCACGCATTGGATTAATGCAGTGGTTCTCAAGCCTGGCTGTACATGAGAATCACCCTCAGGAATTCTGAAAAATCCCAAGGCCAGGATCCTTCCAGAACCAATTACATCAGAATCCAGTGGGGACCGGAGAGGGGCCATCGGGATTTTGAAAGTTTCTCAGCTGACACCAATGTGCTGTCCAGGCTGAGGCCAGAGGGCCAGCTCACTTGGAGCTGTTCCCAGGGGCTACTGCATACCTGCTTAATCCAGGCGGTTGTTAACTGCTCAGATTCCCCACAGCTACTTTTCAATTTTTCTGAAGCAGTAGGTTTGGGAAGGTGAGCGGTGGTTATTCTGTTTATAAAATCCCAGGAAATATTGCTTACACCAAAGTCTGTGAACTTGAGTTATCCCTAGCTTCTTGAACCCTATGATTGTGCCCATTTTACAGGCGGGGGGGTGGTCCTAGAGAAATTGAGTTTTCTCAAGATAACAAGGGAGGAAACTGGCAGAGTCAGGGTTCCAACCTGAGACATCTAAAGTCATGGTCCCACCTTTCCCACGAATTTCTCCGCCTTTCTTATGCGACCCAAACTTAGGTGAGATCCAATGGATGGCTGGAAAAATAAAATATAGCCACGATTAGGGGAGTGCATGGAATAGTGTGTATTTTGAAGGTGAATGAGGCTGTATTACTAGTTCCTCCAGAAGGAAACAAGTACAGTGGTGGTGGTGGGGAAGTTGACCCCAGCCCCAGGGTCTCCGGCACCCTAAGGGGCATAAGTGGAATTCCAGATCTGGCCATTTCCATCATTAGCAAGTGCATCTCTTAGCATCTGGGGCATCCTGTAATCCCTGTTGCTTGGCACGTAATAGCCTCCTAAGCGGTGATGAAAAATGAGTGGCCAGAAGGATGGCTGGTGAGCCAGGGAGATGCATGAAAATTTCCTGTGTGTGCCTGCCCGGTTCACGTTACTTTGCAAATACAGGTGCGGCCACCAGAGAGCAATATTGGACAAGAGAAAGGAGGACGCTTTACCGGGTTTGTAGGACTGGAGAAAACTAGTCTTTGGCTGTGTGTTTAAACCCAAGAAGGGAGAGTCTAATTCACAGAGCAATTAAAGTCAGCATTGCCACCCCCCGCAGCTTGCAGGCTTTCGGAAACCTTTCCTAAGCCACACTGACCTGTGAGGCCACCCCAGCTTTTCTAGATGTAAAGCCAACAGATCAAGGAGAGAAAATCTTGGCTGGTATGAAAAGTGGATGTTTATAGATAAGAGGTTTTTTTTTTTT